ATTTATGTAACCGACCCCATGTTGTGAGATAAAGGCTTGATGTTGTTCTTGTTGTATTCTATCATCCAATCATAATCTTTAACTTTCACAGGTATCAATTCATTGTTTTGATGATTTCATAATAAATATATGTAGGTTAGTGTTATGAATTTTTTTCTTTTAAATAAAAATTGTGTTACTAGTGGCGTGGATGGGCAAGGGAAGGGCTGGGTCGCTAGGGTTTTGATGTTATTTCGTTCTAGAAATTGGACTTAAATTCTAGTTGATTTAATAACCAAATTGATGACGAACTATTGAAAAAGGGGTTCTCCTCTTGATCTTCATCCCTAACTTTTACTTAGTTTCTTTTTTGAATTCAATCTCTAATGAAGAGGGAATTGAGTTGGGATTTTTGAGAGAATTTAGAGGGAGCAAGTGGGGGAAGTCTTGAAAGGAAGAAAGCTGCTATTGGGAATTGTGCAAGGAGTTCATGATAATGATAGAGGCCGTGATAGAGAGACATGAGATATGAGATATGATGAGGACATCAGTAGGAGATTCCGGAATGTCTATCATCGGAAGCAGCGCAGAGCGACGATCACGATCAGAAGTCTTTATTTTTTATTTATATTTTGTATTAGTGTTTCTTGTATTAGTTGTGACGATTATACCCTTTATCTGTTTGTGTTTGAGTTGTAGCCCCGAGGGCATTCTTGTCTTTCTTTTCTAATTGTTTGGAGGCCTATATATAAGGTCCTCATCTTGTATGAGAGACATTCATGAATGAAAAAAAAAATATATGTTTTCTCTCCAGAGCTTGTGAGTTCTTGATTGGTGAAGTCCTAAGTTATGGGAAAAGCAATACCCACCAGTTGCCGGAAATGTCCGGGGCTCGTGGTCCGACTCATCTCGTTTCACCGCCGGCTATGTTGCACCGACACGGACATGACGACACTGACACGACACGACACGGACACGTGACACGGTTTTTTTTGAAAATATAGGACACGGGTACGGCGCGGACACGACAATACATTTTTTTATATAATGTATATATATTAATGTAATATCATATTAAAAATGACAAACAATAATAAATGAATGATACGATAACTTGTCTAGCTTATAATATAAAATATTTAGTACAAAATATCTAGTATAACCACAAAAATATAAGCAAATAATCACTTACTACAACATCGAGCATTCAAGCTTCAACTACTAGGATTAGCTTTAGAGGTTTGTTTTTGGCCTTCAATATCATCATCATTGAATATCGATACTTTCAACTCTGGTTCAACAAGAGAAAGATTTGTAATTGTACAAAAAGAGAGGAGATGAAAATACCTTCACTGCCAAAGATAAATGAAAATGAGAATATTCGATGAATAGGTATTAAATGCAGACGTTGGTTTGTTGTTGTGGATATGAAATAAGAAATTTAGTTTAAATCTCGCCAAATATAAGAAATTATATTTTAAAAAAATTATAAAATATTTAAGATACGCGTGTCCAATTTGTTTTTAATATTTTTTTAATCGGACACATTTTCGGCGTGTCCGACATGCGTCGGAGGAGTGTCGTGTCGGACACGGTGTCGGACACTGCACGCCTCTTTGAGGAGAAGTGTCGGTGCATCATAGACCGCCAGCCTCCCTCATCCTCCTCACCTGTCGGCCGCCCTTCTCACGCCCTTCCCCACAGTTGCAAAAAAAACTCCACCGGCCACTCTTCCCACCTCCCATTAGACCGCCGGCCTCCCTTCCCTTTCTCCCCCACCAGCCAATCCCCTTCTTTCCCAAGCCCACTGCCCCCATCTTAATGTTGATTTCAATCTTCATTAAGACCTTCCTAATTTAGCCTACATAATTTGGGAAAGATTTCATTCTATTTGAAATTCAAAATTTGAATTTTGAATACTTTCCTAAATTAACCACGTTAAATTAGGAAAGTTTTCAAATTGAATCTAATTAAATTTTAAATTAGATTGGACCTCATTATTTCCTTCCTAATTTAGTTTCATGAATTAGGAATATTTATTAACTCCCACAAATCCCTCCCAACCCCATGCATGCTGCTGCTCCCTCCATGGGATCTCCCTCCTCTCTCCTCATTAATCTTCCTCCACTTGAATTTGATTTTCAAATTTCAAATTCTTAAATCCCTTTTCCTATTTTACTAAAATCTGAAACTAATTTCAGATTTTATATTACTTCCCCTCTCCAAACCCAAACCCTAATTCCACAAAAGCAAGCCCCTCTTCCCTTAGCCGCCCTTCTTCCTTCCCGCCTCTTCGAAACCTTCTTGCCTCATGAACTACACTCCAAGAAAGAAGGCCTCCCTCCATCAACAATCCCCTTGACTAGTGCATGGATGATCCGGATCATGTTGTGGATTCCTCTACGACAATCAAAGTTTAGTGGATATTTATCTATCCACTTTCTTCGACCTCAATCCATAAGTGGATAACTCCGTAGAAGATTACATCAATCACACCTTATTCACGTTGGCGTCATCAATTGAAGAGCATCTACCATCCGGAAGTTGGCGGATCATTTGGTACACACCCACATCTTCTCCCTCTATGGCGAACTCTCGTTGGGCTACTACCATAGGTGTCTTCAAAACTTTGGTGGCATCGTTTGGCTTGCTAAGATTCTTTCCCGCTAATCCTTACTAGACGAGCTTGATTGAGGGAAAGTCAAGGTGACTTTTCTATTTGTTAAGTGTGGGATCTCTTGTTTACAATATTTAAGTTTATCTTTATGATTGAGATCATTCTCAAGTGATTGTTATTCTATATTGTAATTGATTGCCTTTACATATTATTGATAGCCTTAAGTCTAAGCATCTAATCTTGTGAAACATTAGTTTATATTGCAAAGCTTAAATTAATTTCTTTATAATCTCTAATGCAATTCCTATTGGTTTCACATCAAGATATGTGAGACATTTGAAAAAAAGAGTAATTTGATTCATATATCATTCACGATTAACAATACCTTATATTATTTGTTATTAAAATATTATTACATGAATAGTTCAAATTTAGATATAGAGAAATGCTATAATGAGAGTAATCCTAGGGAAAATGATGTTAATTATTTTCCATGAAAATTGAATATACTAAAAGGTAGAAAATTAAAATAGTGTTCTTAAATAACTAAATTAATCAAAACAATGTGAGATTCGCTTATACATCAATTACATCAAGAATATTTACATGAGAACCATGTGACGTCAACATCATAATGGAGACAACTTAATCACTACTCTAACCTACTCCCTTACCCATAAGCACAGGACAAGTTTCTGATTTGTGCTCATGGTTTACTTTATGATAAAGTAAAGCTATTATAATCTTGATGTAGAACCTTAAAATGCCTTGAATGATTATTTTTTTTTGGGAAAACCTGAATGATTATTTTACTTTAACTTTGTCTAAAAGACAGGAGTCATCTCTGAGATGTCATCTCATTCTACAGCTAGTAGTGGCTCATCGATCGTCGTGAACTTTTTGTCTATTGGGGTCGAAGTTAGCAAAGAAGCGTCAAAAGTAATACAGAAACCACAGCAAACACTTTATAGGTTGCTGTGAAATCACCATTCTTTTACCATTTAATTGGGGTTGGCTTGCTGAATCTTTCTGGTTTAATCTAATTTATCTAGTTTTGGAGCAAACTTTAGCTGAAGCTCTACGCATTGACTGTTCCAAGCTTTTGGACCTATTTATAGGAAGCCATTTTTTTAACCACTTAACAACTAGGAGTTTGGCTGTTCTAGTTGTTATTTGTGGAATCTGATTATGCTGATCAATCTGATTGATCAACCAGAAAGATTCTTGCTGAATATTTTCGATTTAATCTAATTAATCTAATTTTGGAGCAAACTTGAGTTTGAAGCTCTACGTATTGACTGTTCCTAGCTTTTGGACCTATTTATAAGAAGCCATTGTTTAACCACTTGACAACTAGGAGTTTGCTGTTCTAGTTGTTATTTATGGAAACTGATTGTGTTGATCAATCCAGTTGTTCAGTTGCCTCGAACCTAAAATTTCGTCGTGCTCACTGGGTGAGAGGGGTTTATTCGATGCTTGGGTTAAGGGTGCTCGGGGCTAGAAATTTTTTTTGCTTGTACAACATTTTTGTGCTACGTAGCCGAGCGTTGGGGAGCTGAACGACAAAGAGCAGAGCACCATAGCGGTCGAGATAGGACGCCACAGTGAATCAAGATAGAGATTGAGCGCCGCAGTGCTACGAGACTGACCGAACAATTATTTTTCTCGAGGGTTGCATCCCTTGGGGGTTATAATTTATTTTCTCTTGTACTTTTTGAGTATGTAGACATTGAGAATGGTGCATGTGAGAAGAGAATGAGAGAGTGAGAGCGAAGAGAGATCTGCTTTTAATTTGTCCCAATTTTCATAGTGGATTTCTTGGGGTGGTGTGGCTCCGTTGTTTTTTTTCCTATTTTGAGTTTTCCACGTTAAATCTTGGTGTCATTTACTTTTCTGATGCTTTTACTTTCTTGCTTGTTTCGTCATTGTGGTTTTTTACTCATCTCTCCCCAACACTAGTTTACTAGCTTCAACTATTGTTTGGCTAAACCCAATATATAGCTACTTCTGATCCTCTATAGATTTTGCCTTGCAATCTATTAGTTTTACTTTCTTCAACTCTTTAAACCTTTATTTTTTTAAATTTACTTAGCTTTGGGGTTGTCATGGACAACATTTCATTTCATTTTGTTTTTTTTAAAAGCAATTATGTGCCTTACCATCTCCATACAAACTCTACTGAAACATCTACAGACAACCCCATTCTACAAAATAATACTTACATGCTTAACTCTATAGTCCTGTGCATGCCTAATTTATATTTTTCACGCTTCTTAACATTGTTTTGAAACGTTTATTGTGACATTTATTAAGAAAACTTAATCAATAATCTATAATTGAAATCTCTTTGCTATATTAACACATTGTCTTAGTTTTTCATCTTCTGATTCTCTTCACTGCGAAGGTGTGGCCCTTGCAAAATCATCGCTCCCAAATTCAAAGAATTATCAGAGAAGTACCTTGATGTCGTCTTCCTCAAGCTCGACTGCAATCAAGACAACAAAGTACACACAATATTTTACTTAAGCTTCATTTGGGATAGCTTTCTTACTGCTTCTTAAAACAGTTTTTTAGTATAAAAATTTGAATTTTTATACTAAAAAGTTGTTTTAAGAAATAATAAAAAAACCGTTCCAAATGAAGCCTTAATCTCTCTGCTGTTACATATTTGCTTATAGCTTTGTTATGATATATTTCATGGCGCAAATAACTGAACTCTTAACCTTTCTTACAGGCTTTGGCTAAAGAGCTAGGAATAAAGGTTGTTCCCACCTTCAAAGTTCTGAAAGGCAGCAAGGTTGTGAAGGAAGTAACTGGAGCTAAACTTGATGATATAATCCTCGCAATTGAAACAACAAAATCTAGCTAATGACTTCAGGATGCTCTAAGCCAGTAGAGACTTTTCTCTTTAAGAACTCTCAGGGAGTTCTCTCTCTCTCTCTCTCTCTCTCTCTCAACTGGTACGATAGAACTGCAGCCATCCAAATGTCTAAGAACATAAAATGAACTTTATTTTCTGCTTGCCTTTCATTGTTCTTTGGAAATATAGGCTTTGTTTGGGACGGCTTTCTTATTGCTTCTTAAAACAGCTTTTTAGCTCAAAAATTTTAATTTTTGAACTAAAAAGTTGTTTTAAAAAACAATAAAAAAACTGTCTCGAGCGAAGTTATAATGTAATCTCTGTATTTAACTCTCTTTGTTTTCAAGGACAAGGATGTGCGGTTCTTTGCCCGGCAATGAAAAATACTTCTGCAGTTGAAGTATTAGATGTTTTACATTAGGATTTTTCTATTTTTCTCTTAATGTTTTGCTCAGGCAATTGATTGCAAGAGTGATGCAAATAGATCCATTTTCTAAAGACTTATTCATAACCCTTACAACAATAGCATTTATGCATTTAAAATCTGAATTTCTTTGTGTACAATGTCTAGCACCTTATGAATGGAGTTTATGATTTAAGTTTAAAGTTTTGTTTGAGATAGCTTTCTTCTACTTTCTATAACATTTTTTAGTTAAAAAAATTGTTGAATTAGAAATTTTTTAACTAAAAAAGTTACTTTAGAAAGCAGCAAGAAAGTTGTCCCAAACAAAGCATGACTCTCTCGATGCTCATCAAATAATGACGAGAGACGATCGACAGCTTTTGAAGGACAACATATTGGTAACACAATAATGATAGCAAAAAAAATACTATTTTTATTTTTATTTAGATATTTTGAGTTCTATGTATATAAATAGTGAAGTGTAAATCTTAAATATATAAATATTAATATTTTGAATCTATATAAATTCCCCATATATTTTTGGTGCAGGATTCTTTTGAGAGCAAAGATTTTTACAAACAAACCCTCAAAATAAAGAGATTATTATGTGCGGTGTTCGGATCATTCAGAGGCGAATTCGGACGCGTCACATCACTTGGATGCACTGGGTCCTGGGTGATGTGGCACGTCTAGATTCACCTCCGAACAAATTTGAATGCATCAAGTAAAAATTTTCCCAAAATAAAAGGTCTTGATGGGGAATGTTTGTTGTCTTTAATTTCAAGTCCAACTAGATCCAGGCAACTTCTCAGCTCCTCTTCCTCTCATCAGCTTCCTCACTCTCAGAGCCTCAGCCCAAAGTCCTTTCTCAGCATATATACTTGAGAGCAGAATGTAGTTCCCAGTGTTCTCTGGCTCCAGTACAAAGAGCTCTTTGGCAACACTCTCTGCAATCTCCACATTACCATAAGTCCTGCAGGCTGCAAGCATTGCTCCCAGAGTTTCTACATGAGGTTTCGCCGGCATTCCCCGAATCATCTCATAAGCCTCCCCGAGCCTCCCGGCACGGCCAAGCATATCGACGACGCACGCAAAGTGATCCAAACAAGGCTTTATTCCATAGTCCTCCACCATTCTTTGCCAGAACCTCAATCCATCTTCGACGAGTCCTGAATGGCCACAAGCACTCAGGACACCGATGAATGTGATCGGATCCGGCCTTATCGCCTCTGCCTGCATTCTCTCAAACACCTTCAGAGCTTCGAGGCAATGGCCATTGGAAGCAAGTCCATTGATTAGTGCAGTGTAGGAGAAAGCATCAGGGGAGGGGATCTCGTCGAATAAGCGAAAGGCTTGTTCGACTTCGCCACACTTTGCATACATATCGACAAGTGCAGTGAGCACCCGCACATTCCTTTCGATGCCTTTCCGATCGATATAGGCCCCAACCCAGCAGGCTAGCTCGGGGCTCCCGAGCTGGCTAATGGCGGATATGATGCAGGTCATGGTGGCGGAATCTGGCTCGACGCCGGACCTTTGCATCTCATTGAACAATGCCCAAGCTTCCTTTGCTCGCCTGCTTTGCGTATAGCCTGCAATCATTGCAGTCCATGAGACCAAATTCCGTTGTGGCATTTCATCAAACAGCTCACGCGCGTAATCTACAAATCCGTTTTTACAGTGCCCCACTATCATCACCGTCCAGGACACCACATTACGGTAAGGGATAGCATTAAAAATCGCTCTTGCAGCGAAGAGATTCCCAGTATTGACATAGCCAACGACCATGGCGTTCCAGGAGATGATGTTCTTCTCAGGCATTTGGTCGAACACCTTCCTGGCGGAGAGCATGTCCTCGCCAAGCCGGGCATGGGCACCTAAAAGCGCGTTGTGCGAGACGAGATCCTGAATAGGCATTTGATCGAACACGCGGCTCGCAAGGGGGAGCTGGGCGCACTTGCCATACATGTCGATAAGAGCGTTGGCGACCGGGAGATGGCCGGCGAAGCCGGTGCGGAGGATGCGGGAATGGAGCTCGCCGCCGGCTGGGAGATCGCCAGCAGCGGCGCAGGAGTTGAGGACGAAGGGGAATGTGAAGTTATCCGGAGAAATGGCGAGGGTGGGCATGCGAGCGTAGAGGCGGAGGGCGTGGCGGGACTTGGAGAGTGCTCGAATGGCGCGATTGTAGAGATGGAGAGAGGGGTCCGGGGAAGAAGAGGCGACGGAGAAAGCAGCGGAAGGGGAGGAAAGAGAGGCGTAGTGGGAAAGGAGGAGGGAGGGAAGGGTGTGGTCGATGAGGAAGAGGAGGTTGCAGCGGAGGAGGTGGGCATGGGTTTGCTTAAGCTGGGAAAGGGAGGAGCTTGCATGGTTTAAGAGCTCCGCCGCGCCGTTGGATTTGCTAATGGAGGAAGAGCTCCTATTTTTCCTTTGGCTCGAGCTGGGGTTGTGGTTTTGAGGAGGTGTGGGATCTTCGGATGTCGCCGGCGACAGAGAAATGGAGGAGATGTTCGGCGCCGCCACCTTTGCAGTGGCTGAAGGACTTCAACGGCGGATTGCGAGAGCCTGTCCTGTAATTGTGTTCTAATTTTTCTCATATTTTAATGGATTATTAAAAAATGAAAATTGATATGCTCTTAGCGTTGGTAATTATCTTTGAAAGTTTATTAAATTTTTTTGAATTCTACACAATATTGATTTGCTCAGCTTTGAGGTTTATTCCCTAAAATAAAAAATATTCAACTAAAAATTTATTCAACACATTTTGCAAGGTTTTGAAAATCAGACCAAATAACGAACTGAAAGGAGATGTTCACGTTCGAAACGTTCGACCGATCGAATAGAGGTCGAACTGGATGATGTAATAAATAATAATTTTATTATAAAAATAATAAAATTAACATAATAATGAAATATAATAACCATATATTTTAATAAAATTATTGTTACTTCATATTAATGATATATCATCAAAAAATTATCTTGATCGGGAACAAATCTCAAAGCAAAATCAAGTTGAAAACTTCAAAAATTAAATGTGGGATCATCTGAGCTCTGATTTCGGCACACTTATAGTTAAACTGAACGTCTCGAAAATATGAACCCAACGACACCAAATTCGACGAAATCTGAGCTCAAATTGGTCCAAATCGAAGGCCCGAAGCACCTTCGGAAGGTTCAAATCATAATTTGGATTATCAAATAGCTTCAAAACATGACATGCTTATGGTCGAATCGAATGGCTCGATGAGGCGAATCCAACGAGCCCAAGATCGCCAAATTCTGATAACATTAAGACATTCAAATGCCCAATAAACGGTTTATGATCAAAGGATTTAACATCGGCCGTCCATTCAAACCACTAACAATTTAACCCCTGATCTTTCTCTTATTTACTAGCCATACCACTCTCAGAAAATTATAAATAGATTCCTCATTTCACATAGAAATGGGGCCCAAAGGGGGGAAGAAGGAGGCCCAAGCAAGAAGAGAAGGAAGAGACTCCTCAACCACCGTCAGGCTTTCACCCGGCAGCTGACCGACGTCGGATTTCTGCCTGGTCACCAACTAACGTCGGAATTAAGCAAGGAAGCAAGAATAGAAGGAAGAAAATAAAGAGAAGAAAGAGCTCTCTTGTCACCAGACTCTTCCTTGACCACTATCAGACTTCCACCAGGCAGCCTACCGACGTCGGAGTTCTGCCTGAATGCCATCTGACGTCGAGTTCTGCCTGGCTGCCAACATACGTTAGACTTATACCCGACGTCGGACCTTTGCTCATCACCAGATTTCTACCTGATGTTGTACTTCTACTCATCGTCAGACTTTCGTCGGGCTTCTATCCGACGTAAAACTTCTATCCATCAAAATACTTCTACCCAACGTCGAACTTGTGCCCATCACCGGATTCCTATCCAGCATTAGACTTCCGCCCATCGCCAGATTTCTACCCAATGTTGGTCTCCGCCCGTCGCCAGATTTCTACCCAATGCTGGACTTCTACCCGTCGCCAGATTCTTGCCTGATGTCAGACTTCCGCTCGTCATCGAAATTCCGTTGGACTTCTACCCCACACAAGACTTTTGCCCGTCACCGAACATTCATCAGACTTCTATCTAATGCTGAACTTTTGTCCATCGTTATACTTCTACCTAATCTCATCCTTTCGACCACCATCATTAGACAACGATCTTTATGACCTATGCCGCCTATTGACTACGGTCCTTCCGACTTACGTCGCCTACCGACTACAGTCCTTCCGACCTTTGTCGCTGAACAATAGTTTTTATTACCTCCGTCGCCCACCGACTATGATCCTTCCGACTTACGTCGCTCTCCGAATACGATCCTTCCGACCTTTGTGGTCCATCGACTATGGCCCTTCCAAATAAGTGAACATTTTAACCATGTAACACACTCTATATGATGTATATTTATTATGTCAAGCTAAGGACTTGCCCCCAATAAAGGGCCTCATTTGTAATCATCTATAAATACTAATGGATTCATTCAAACTGGGCTAGGCCCCATAGTTTTTTCCCATTTTTAGAGGTTTTTCATGTAAAAATCTTAGTGCCTCTTTTGAATATTGTACCCTCTCTCTTATCTGATTGTGTGTTGGATCTTTGTATAAAGCTAATATGTTAAACTTTATATTTCACTACCCCCGCAAATGCTCCAGGATGCAATAGTTTGGCGCCGTCTGTAGGAAAGTGGTTCCCGATTGGAACAATTATTAGGTCCTCCGACCGGACGTAGAGCTACGTCCGGTCGGAGCTAAAATTGCGCCAAAAAATGAGAAATACCGAGCAAATACCTAGGAATACCATCATGTGAAGACCCAATACCGAGTTATACCGAGCAATACCGAGTTACACAAAAAATACTGAGTTTTTCCTAGAAAAAACTCGGTATTTTTTTGTATAACTCTGTATTGTTCGGTATAGCTCGTTATAACTCGGTATTGGTCTTCAAAGAGCGGTATTCCTCGATATTACCAAATAATACCTAGAAATACCGAGCAAATATCGAGTTTTTAGGCGAGATTTTAGTGCCGACCGGACATTCCTCTACGTCCGGTCGGAGGACCTAATAATTGTTCTATCGATTGGGAAGCATTTTTTAGCTCCAATCTCAAAAGATCGCCCATATCAACTTCCTGATATTAGCCATTGTTGCATCAATTTTATAAAAATTAGAAGTAAAATGGGGGAAACTTTGACTTTAACCATAGTAAAAAAATATCCTTCAATACATTCAACATCAATATTATATTTCAAGAAAATATTAACAAATGAAATGATGTTTCCAATCAATTATATGCTTTATATAATCCCTTTCTGGACTTCTACTATTTGGGCAAGATCTTAATCTTGATCTCAAAAAGGCAGTAACTGTCTAAAGATAGACTATTCTTCTCCTTTGATTCAGGATATATGTGGCATTCTCCCCCTCCCAATCAATATAAATTGATCACAGGGGGATTCGATTTGACCTCTTCCACACAGATTAATGCCATCGAGCAGGTCTCTGACATATAACCTCAGATAGGTCATACACCTTGGTAGATTCTCTCAATCTCTTTCATATAGGTTAACATCATAGACCAGGGCTCTGACATATAATCTCGGATAGGTCATACATCTTTAGTGGATTATCTCGATCTCTTTCATATAAGATAACATCATTGAGCAGGGGTCTGACATACAACCTCAGATAGGTCATACATATTTTGTATATTCTCTCAACCTCTTTTATATAGGTTAAAGTCATCGAGCAAGACTATGACATATAACCTCGAATAGGTCATATATTCTTGGTGGATTCTCTCTACCTCTTCCACATATGTTAACATCATCGAGCAGAACTCTAACATATAATATCGGGTAAGTCATATATCCTTTGTGGATTCTCTCCACCTCTTTCACATATGTTAACATCATTGAGTTGGGCTCTGACATACAACCTCAAATATGTCATGCATCATTTGTGGATTCTCTTGACCTCTTCCACATAGGTTAACATCATCGAGTATGTCTCTGACATACAATCTCGTAAAAGTCATACATCTTTGGTGGATTCTCTCAACCTCTTCCACATAGATTAACATTATTGAGCATGAATCAAACATATAATCTAGGATAGATCATACATCCTTGGCGGATTCTCAACCTCTTACATATAGGTTAACATCACTGAGAAGGTCTTTGACATATAACCTCGGATATGTCATATATCATTAGTGGATTCTCTCGATCTCTTTCATATATGTTAATATCATCGAGTAGGGCTCTGACATACAACCTTGGATATGTCATATATTATTGGTGAATTCTTTTGACCTCTTCCATAGAGGTCAATATCATTAAACAATACTCTTAGTGAATACCATTCTCTCTAAAAAAGATTTCATTAAAGCAAGTGATTGATAAAGTCATCACTCATATAAAAACCTTAGCAGTTTTAAAAAAAGCCTCAAAAATATATGGGGTAATATATCAAAATATATCTAAAAATTGCATAAATAAACCAGCTTCCTCCGAGGGATAAGTTCTCAACTTCATATATAATATCAATGGAGTGATATAAATCTAACATCAAATTAAAATATATATTTATTCTCACTAGAAATTAAAATTAAAAAGTACATTGACATTATCCATACAAGTAATTTTCTTCAAGCAACTAACAGCTTCAAAATGGCCAAATATTCTTGGTGGATTCAAGTTACCTCTTCTTTATTATGCATTTATTCTTTTCCTACAACTTCTTTTTCTAAGAAAGATTACAATCTGATCATCATCAGGCCTTAACTCAATTGATATTATTAGTGTGTCGCTAGACTACTAACATGGCACGCTGTTTTAACCCCTTCAATCAAGAATATCGGCCCTTCATCTGATGTATACTGTTGGTCCTTTAATTCATATAAGCCACCATCAGCTTCTCGCTCAACTACTGATAGCATCACACCCTCCAACTCTCTCCTTCAACTCTCCACTAGGCTATTGACTGCCAATAGACTTCCATGTGATCGTCCATCGCTGACAGACTTTCACTCAAATAACATCAAAATTCTCCCTGTATACTAATAACTTTTATTTTTTCCTCTCGAGTACTATTGGCACCAGATCTTCTCAAATCACTCTCGCATGTAAGAAGCATTTGATCTTCTTCTATCAAAGACATTTTAGTGGTAGAGTAAGTCATTATAACTTCTTTTACACAAGAGAATGGCACTGAAGTTTGATAGGAGATACCACTTATCTAAAATAGTGGAATGCCTCAAATATAAGAAGAAGACCCGAAAAAATTGAGGAAGAAAAAGAGAGGAAGGAAAAAAAAATTTAACTTTTACACAAAGGGAGGGGCCTTGAATTTGGGTAGGGGATGACACCTACTAAAAAGTAGGGGAATGCCTCAACTATAAGAAAGTTAGAATGAGGGAGGGGAAAAAAAGGAACAATCATAAAAATTCCAACTTCTACACAAGGAGAGAGACCCTGAATTTAAGTAGGGGAAGACACCTACCAAAAATAAGGGAATGTCTCAACTGTAAAAAAATTAGAATGAGGGAGAAAAAAAGAAAAGGAATGACTGCAAACTTCTACTTCTATACAAGGAGAGGGGCCA